CCATGCAAGTAAATAGATGCAGACGGTTAAGGGAATGGGGACCATGGAGGAAGGGGCTCCCAATCAGAATGCAGAAGCTGGACAGTTGGTTGGGCCTGTACTGGCACCATGAGCATGTCCACCATGGTGAGAGAAGAGGACAGAACTCTGCACTGGGCCTCACTCCCACAGGTGCAGGAACACAGCCAGCAAGGTGCCTTCTTTCTAGCGACGCTTTGGAAAGGGAACCAGGTAAATGTCACGACCATGAAGGCAAGTTCTACCAGGTGTTTTGAGCTGTCCTGAATTGTACTGAAGTCAGTTTACGATGAATATGTCTCAGAGTTTATTAGGATAAGTGCATAACAGAAAGCTCAAAGGATGCTACACTGCTCCTTCCTCAGGGCCAAGCTTAGATGCCTCTGACGACCCCTTGGCTGGAACTCCCAGGAGAGGTTGGACCTCCCAGTCCCCATAGCCCCAGTCTGAAAAACATTCATGGGTGAAAACAAAACCCATGTGGAGATCCCACAGTTCCAGAATTAGTCCAACAGGATTCAAAAACACATTCTCATCTAGCATTCATGAGGCAGTTACTGACATTGGCAATCACATCTGACATTACAGGAGGCCCTTACAATGATCTCATTCGAGCTTGAGCCAAATCTGCTCAGAAAACATTAGCCCAAGGACAGCATACATAGTCTGTGGGAGAGAACGGCTTGACACCTTGCAGGTAAGGGAAGAACAGATCAAAGCACGGATCGTGTTTCAGTGAACACCCCAGCGAGTGTTCATCTTGGGAGTCTGGAAGCAGGGTGTTTGATGACTGACTATAGATTATCATTCTCTTTTATGGTTGACAAACTGCAGCCAGACCAGACAGATCTGAGCTGTGGGTTCTGTAGCCGGAGCAGAGACAGATGTTTTCAGGGTTCATTCTCAGATTCCCATGCGAAAGGCATTGTTCATGGTGCTGGAAATATGTCGGGGCAGTAAGCTGTTTGCAGCTGCTAGAAGGCAACGCTTTCCTGTTTTCCTGGTTTAGACAATAGAGGACCTGAGAAGAAGAATAATAGGAAAAGGCTTTCCTATATTAGCCTTAAAAAAAACTATGTTATTTTGAGTTTAGTAAAATTTTTGGTCAAAGCTCATCTTGGTTCTCTGTTTTGACAGTAATATTGATGAAAATGGAGGTTGGAACAGAAGAACCTCATGCTCATGTCCACCCACGGATAATTGCTCAGTGATGATATGCTCAAACAAGGGCCTGGGCTGTGGCTGCCCGGCCCCAGCAGCTCTGAGAGGAAGAAGGCACCTCGTATGGTGACCATGAGCACGTTGCATGTCAAGGTGCAATGTCAACTCTGCCTTCTTGCCTGATCCCAGGGCGATGCCAGGCTGGTCCAGCTAAGGGTCTGATCTTCTGCCACTGGGTGACATGCAGGGCTCCTGATGGCATGTGAGGCTGGCAGTGACAGAGCCCGTGCTCCCTGTCCTCAGCTGAGCCTCCTGTCATGGTCCCCACATCATCCACGCATAACATCATGGCATGACATGTGAGTGTGCACCGTGGTATTAGTGATGAGGGGTAGGTGTGTGGGCAGCCAGGGACAGAGACCAGAGGGGGCTGGTCCCAACCGGAAGCCACACTGCTGAGTGGGTTGTTCCCACTGCTGAGCATCCCCAGGTCTCTCCTATGTACTGTGGATACCTGTCCTGCCCTTGGCTTTGCTGTGCCTCAAGTTACCTGGGAACCATCCTCCTTATCATCCTCCTCTAGATAACTAACAAGAGGTCAGTGAAGGTCACCTGAAATTCCAGAATGGGTAGGCACAGTACTGTGTGTCTGAGGAAGTGTCACCCACCCTGTTATCTGCTTTGGGAGAAGGGAATCTGCCCTGGATATAGACTTTCCAAGAGCCCCCAAATGATCGAACTATGAACAATTCTATTTGGACAAAAGTCTTGGTCGTCTTAGGACTGGATGCCAGCAGGACCTTCTCACTCTCCATCATCCTGGCTTGTCCTGCCTCTGACAGGTCACTGGGACAGAAACACCATGTCTAGGGAGAAGTCAAAGTGTGGAGGATGCCTCTCCCCATGCCCCACTCACCCTTTTCTCTGGCTGTGCCACAGGTGAGCCATTTGGCCCTCTGGACACACGAGGGATAGTCTGTGGCCACTGGCCAGTGGGCATTGGTTTATCTGATGCTGTGGCCCCCAAGCTCCCCCAACAAGGACCCCCAAACCTCAAACAAAGTGATGGAAGGAATAAGGGGGAGATAGAGCCTGGGTGTGAGGTGTGGCATCCCTCAGACCAGCTGCCCAAGGCTGTCTGGTCTGGGCCCAGAACACAGGAAGAGACTTCAGCAGCCAGAGGAGGAACCTGATCCCCCTCAGCAGGGACTGAGAAACTGTATTCTCTACCCCATTTCTTCCCTTGGGAGTTTCACAGAGGGGTCCGAGGTCTCCCAGGTGTTGGGGATGGGACCCGGCGGCACATTGCCCCCTGCAGGAGAACTGAGAGACCATACTGTGGGCCGGGTTGTGTGGACAGTCGGAATGCAGACCACAGGAGGACCGATGACCTCGTCGACTCACAACCACAGGCCCCTGCACAGTCCAGGAGGAGCCCTGGGAAGTCCAGCACTAGAAGGTCCCCTTCACCCCTGATGGGAAAGGCAGAGTGCTGAGGGCCTGGAGGCAATGATGGGGCATTTGCAGTTACTCCACCAAGTGCAGAGTAGGTTAGTGGAGCACCCAAACACATCTTTAAAGCTGTCAGAGAACCAGTGTCTCCTCACATACAGGAGACAACCGCCAGTTTGAGTCCCACGGACTGTGACGTCCTGCCAAGTGAACACAGCTTTTGTTTCTCATAATTGTCAGACACGAGGATTCTAGCTGAAAACTGGAGACTGGGGCATTGAAAGCATGACCGCCCCATGCCCCGCTGAGCCCTGTGAAGCCCCCCATCCCCCATCTTTCCTGTTACCCCGCAGTCCTTTGAGTTTTCCATTGTCTTAAAAAAAGATCTACCTTTCAAAATCGGCAGAGGATATTTACTAAGCTCTGAAGTCTGTGCCCCTGGTGTGTCTTCACCTCCCTGTTGTCACCTGAGAGACAGTAGCATCCTTAGGCTAAACCAGAAGCAACAGTGCACCTTGTTCTGGGAGGGGAGACTTTGGAAGCCAGGAAGGAGACATGACCCCTCTGTCTGCTCTGCTGGGCAGTGGTGGCAAAAAGGCCCCAAGGACCCAGAGGTACTCAGGCAACTTATAACAGCTCTGACTGTGGGTGAGCCCCTGGGTTGTGTTCTAGAGCCAGAGAGAGCGAGGGAGGGAGGGGGAAGGGTGGGAGAGAGACAGAGAAGGTGAGATGGAGGGAGAGAGAGAGAAGAGGAGAAGGCGAGGGAGGAGAGAGGGAGGAGAGAGAGGAAAAGAGAGAGACAGGGAGAAAGTGGGAATAGGGAAAGAGAGGTGGGGGAGAGAGGGAGGGAGGGATGGAGGAAGGGAGGGGAAGAGGAGGAAGAGGGAGAAGGAGACGGAGAAAGAGGAAAAATGAGAGACAGGGAGAGAGTGGGGAAGAGGAGAGAGAGAAAGGGGGAGAAGGAGCATTCTCAACCACTTCGTTGCAGGAGAAACTTTGCAACTGCAGACTAAATTGAGGATATAAATTAAAATGCTTTGAGCAGTTTTTGCCATAAAGATTTTCATCCCTTCCCCCTCCACCTTTTGTACACCAGTTCTCAGAAATAAAGGTCTTTTGTCTGTTTTTTAACCCCAAATTCTGTAATTGGTTCTTGAAGGAACAAATAAAAAGCTGTTTTCTTCAGCTAAAAAAAAAAAATTTTTTTTTCATTATTCTCTCTGTCCCTCTTCCTTTCCTTCTAGTCCTGATTTCTAGGAAAAAGAGAGACACAGGGTTGAAGTCCCTGAGCACTCTGCCAGGCTAGCCCCTCCCTGGGGCAGGCACACACATGCTTGTGAGCACACACACACACATACACACACACACACAGGCAGGCAGGAGGGGGAGTCGAGTGTTCAGGATGCAACACTGGGAACTGCTAAAATGCTTTATATTAAAACCCTCAGAACACATGGACCCCTCCCAACCACACACCCTCAGAAAACAAGCAGAGGGAGACCCCAGGGACCTTCCTCTATCTGACTCAGCAGAGTCCAGGGCAGGGGAAGGGCCAAAGGGCCACCCGGGTCTCCAGGACACGCCATCTTCCATGCTTCCCTTGTTAGTGCTAGCATTTATCCCACCATAGTCAAGTGCATGTGGATGAGTTAATTCAAGTATCCGTGGGACCAGCCCCAGCCTCTTTCTGGCTCCAGCCCCGCAGTTTGTGTTTTCCAGCACACTGAATCTCCTGCAGGCAGCATTCCTCCTGCTTCCCAAGTTTCGTGCAGATAAGCCCAAGACTCAGAGATTCAGGGCGAGCAATTCTCTACCTCCTGCCTGTGCAGTGAGCCACACTTCTGGTGTTCTGGAAGGTTTCCAGGGTGTCAGCTCAGCAGAATGGGAGGAGGAAGCGCAGGGCTGCTCATGTGACAAAATGCGTCCAGGCCTGAGTGTGTCCTCTTGGACAAGAAAAACAGAACTTTCTACCAATGAAATAATTGACTGACTTGGTGTCCACATAGGACCAGGAGCGAATCACTTCTGTCCTAACTGGCATGGCAGTACCCTCCTCCTCCAGAGGGTGGAGCGGGCAGAGGAACCTCAAGGAGCTCATTGTCACCTGACTCTTCACGCCTGGAGCCACAGTCCATCACATCAGAATTTGCCAGGGAGAGGGGATGAGAATCTGGAATATTCACAAAATTGCCACAACAGCAGCCAGCACACGGCTTCTGCCACTCACACAAAAGATGTCTGCATGGTCCAAATGGCCAGGCTTCAAGGAGAAAACTGACCATAGTTTGCTAAGTTCAGTCTTTCGGAAGGATGCGGGTCTCTCATGGGACCAGGAGTTCGGAGCTCTGAGAATGGGGAGCCCTCTTACTTCAGCAGTCTGTCCCAGGTGTCGGACTAGGGGAGACAAAAGAGGAAGTGTTGGAAACCACCTAGACCCTCGGAGAAAGCCCTGCATGCCCAGGCTGGCTGTGAATGGGCACCGTGCCCAAGGGGAACCCCACATCCCTAGGCTGCCTGTAGACAGCACCATGATCTAGGGGAGCCCCATATCCTTGGGTTGCCTGTGGACAGGCACTGTGCCTTGGGGAGCCCCATATCCCTGAGTTGGCTGTGGATGGCCACCGTGCCATAGGGAAGCTCCCCCATCCCAGGGCTGGCTATGGATAGGCACCATGCCTTAGGGGAGCCCCATAGCCCCAGGCTGGCTGTGGATGGGTGCCATGCCCTAGGGGAGCCCTGTATCCCTGGGCTGACTGTGGACGGGCACCATGCCCTAGGAGACCCCATATCTCAAGGCTGGCTGTGGGCAGACACCATGCCCCAGGGGAGCTCTGCTTGCCCAAGTTGGCTGCCAGGGCTGGGGTCTGCCATCCCTGGGGACCCTGCACCGGCCCCTGCCTGCCTCCCTCCGCAGCCTTGCCCGTACCTGTAGGGATTCTCTGAGGCCCGGCTCTCTGCCCGCTCAGGGACCCAAGAGTAGGTGTCAGCTGCACTCTGCGGTGGTCTCTCCTTCTTCCCCTCCTGCTTTGCTCGGCGCTTGCGGTAGACCAGCAGCCCAAGAGCCAGGGCCAGCAGGAGCAGGATGGCCACCACGGTGCCCAGGATGTAGAACAGGAGCAACTTCTGCCCGTCGGTGCCATCATCCCTCTTTGTGTCCACAGAGCCCCCCGCGGCAGAGTCCCAGTGGCCAGTGGCAGCCATGGGGTGATGGGTGCGGGACTCTGTCCGGATGCCCGGGGGCCCACTGTGGGTCAGCATCTCAGGTGGGGCAGAAGTGATGGGGACCCGGAACAAGAGCGAAGGTCTCCCAGAAGTGGGTGCCACCTGGGAGGTGCCCTCAGAGCCCCCGGTAGGACTGGACGCTGCAGCAGGGGGAATGGTGCTCCCCTCTCTCTCTTCCTGGTCCTCCTCCTGGGGGAGCCCAGTAGGGGATCTGGGGGGCACAGGACCCATGGTGCAGGAGACCCCATCAGCAGCCAGCTCCCAGCCCGGCAGGCAGCCACAAAGGAAGGAACCCTGAGTGTTGAGGCACAGGCTATCACAGCGGCTGCTGCCCAGGCCCTCACACTCATTCACATCCTGGCACTGGGTGCCATCTTCGCCGGCCAGGACATAGCCCTCACGGCAGGAGCAGTGGAACGAGCCGTCGGTGTTGGTGCAGTTCTGGGCGCAGGGTGTGCGGCTAGGGGCACACTCATCAACGTCACGACAGGCTGCCTCCCCGGGGCCACCCGGCTCGTAGCCCACCCAGCACTCACAGCGGAAGCCCCCGGGGGTGTTGACGCACTGCTGTGCACAGGGTGAGGCCTGACACTCATCCACGTCCTCACAGCTCAGCTGGCTTGCATCCAGCTGGTAGCCGCTGGGACAGCGGCACATGAAGTCCTCCCTGTGGGGCCCGGGGACACACGTGGCCTCCCCGCTGCACGGGCTGGAGCTGCAGGGGTTCCGGGAGGCACAGCTCACCAGGTCGTCCAGCAGCCGGAAGCCCGGGCGGCAGCCACAGCGGAAGGAGCCATCGCCCCCCTCGAAGCAGTCCTGCTCACAGCCACCGTTGTTGAAGCTGCAACCGAGTTCAGGGTTCACACAGAAGGGGCCCGGGGTGCCCCACTCGAACACACCAGGGCCCTTCTCCCTGCACAGGATGTTGTGGCTCTTGTCCGTGGCCCTGTCCCCACAGGACACATAGGCCATGGAAGCAAAGGGCACGGCCTCCAGGGAGGAGCTTATGGCCTTGAAGGGAGTGTTGTAGGTCACCTGGCCCGGTCCGCCCAGCGCCAGGGGCCGGCACATGCCCTTGAAGCTAAACTTGCACACGAAGCCCTCAATGCTGCTTCCTGGGGTGCTGGGGTTCCCACAGGGGCCCTCGGACCACTTGGGGAAGCGGCCAGGCAGGGGTGGCTGGGACAGGTCCAGCAGCAGTGCCACACAACGCCTCGAGATGCAAGAGCTGCGGACCTCCTTGTGCCAGTTGGTGTAGGCCGTGTCCTCCCCGCCACCCACCCAGGCGAAGCCCTTCAGCGGCAGGCTGGGGTCCAGGCACTTGCCTTTCTCTCGCTGGAGGCCGATCCAGAACTTGCCGAACCTCGCTGCCAGGGCCTTCTCTGGCGTCAGGAGTTGGGCCAGGGCTTGCTGGACGTGCTGGGCTTCCTCTTCGCTCTTCACGGTGGCCAGGTTGCCCCCGTTGGACTGGCAGTGGTCCTGGGCCTCAGCAGCGCTCAGCTTGCCCCAGTGGGCCGTGTAGCAGGCAGTGCCGCCACAGACCACAGCCTCCGTGTCCACGCTGGTCCCGACCCAGGGCTGGCCCAGGAGTAGCAGCAGCAGCAGCAGGCCTGTGGAGGTGGCCATCCTGACCTCTGGATGCCCCTTGGTGGGAGACGACCAGCCCGGCAGGGAGAGTGACCAGCCCAGCAGGGACAGTGGCAACCAGAGATTCTGCCAGGGCTCCCGGCTGTGCCCTGAGGGGAGCTAAAGGACGAGCAGCAGCCCCGACGGCCTAAAGAGGGACACAAAGGCCGCAGGCTCCTCACGTCTCGCTGGTCACGCCACATCCTGTGCGGCTGCACTTCTTATTCCTCACCGGATGCTGGAGCTTCCTGCCATGAATGGCTTCTGACTCCTGCTGCCTTCATCATGCCTTTGTTGTTCATAAAAGGAGTAGACGGCAGTGCCGGGTCCCAAAACACAGCGGCATAGGGGACGTCACCCTTGGAGTCCGTGTCTGCCTTGCCCTAAATGCCACGCCACTGAGCGAACATGGCTAGAGGCCAGGAGCCCAAGGAAGCGCACTGGATAATCCGTGATAAAAGCTCCAGTCTGCAGACAGCCAACAGAAAAAAAAATGCCGAGACTCGGGCCCGAGGCCATGATGGTAACAAGCCCTGGCCTTTTATAGAAGCAAGCTGGCTCTCCCCCTGACCCGTCCACGCTTCCCGCTGGCTTGGGGAGGTCTTCCCTCCATTCCCCACATCGTGAACTTTAAATAGATAGGCAGTTTTTAAATAGGACCTGGGCTGTGGGAACGTCTGGGCTTCTAACACAAGGCCAGGCTCCCCACATCGGGTGAGACATGGCAGTTTTCGGGGTTTCAGGGGGAAAATATCGCATCGGGAGGTGACTGGTCACAAAAGAGTTGGAAAGGGAAGACAATGAGCACCTCCGCAGCCTCCCAGCCCTGGTTTGCAAACTGCATCACCACCAGGGCCACCGGGAAGGGCTGGCCTTCAGGCTAGGAGTCGAAGCCCTGCAGGTCTCCAGGCAACATGCCTTTTCTCACAGCTGCAGATGCCACCTGCCCATCGGGGCTGTCTTTGGTTGGGGACTCTGAGACAAGGATGTGGGGTGAGTTGTTTCTCTGGGGGAGAAGTGAAACAGGCAAAGGAAACACCAGCCCAGGGTGGCCTGCTGAGGTGACCTGGGATCTTGAGCCAAGTCCCAGGAACGGTCTGGGAGCCAACGTGGACCACACTGAAGCCTGTCACATCTGTGGAAGGACGGGCTGCTCCCTAGCTCAGGTCACTGGCAGAAGGTTGTGTTTTTGTCTGCTTTGGTCCTAAGGTCTCTCCCCAGACAGTGGCTACAAACCACTGCCCTGCCCACCTACTGGTGTTCCTGGTCCAGGAAGCATGTTTAAACTGGCAGGTGCTCTGGGGGCTCCTGCCTGACCCGTGCCCAGTTTATTCTTCCAGAACAGCCACTCCTGGGAGAGTCCTGAAGGGGGAGAGTTAGATGCAGGGTGCAGGGCACATGGACACAGGGAGGCAGCTCACAGAACTCACGAGAGAACAGAAGTATCAAGACACTCACAAACCCCAGAGGAGAGGGCAGCCTGCCCCAAAGTGCCATTGAGAAGGGAGGAGGAGAGAGGGAGAGGGAGGGAGGGAGAGAGACAGAGAGAGAGAAAGAGAGACAGAGACAGAGCCAAGGAAGGAAAGAGGAACACACACAGAGAGAGAGAGAGAGAGAGAGAGAGAGAGAAACAGAAAGAGGGAGCAACTGGGGGCAGGAGAGAGGGAGGGAGAGACAGATAGAGAGAGAGACAGAGCCAAGGAAGGAAAGAGGGAGACAGGGGAGGGAGCAGAGACAGAGAGAGAGAGAGCTCGACACACATACACACACAGAGAAAGAGAAAGAGAAACAGAGTGGGGGCAGGAGAGAGGGAGGGAGAGACAGAGAGAGAAAAAGACAGAGCCAAGGAAGGAAGGGGGGATGAGGGGTGGAAGAGAAAAAGAGACAGAGAGAGAGGGAGGAAAGAAGTGGGGGTGGAATGGGGAGAGAAAGACTTAGGTTACAGCCTTTACTGGAGTCCCGGCATTTCCCAGGGTCTTTCCTGTGGGGAGCTCTCATTGGTGGGTTTAGAGCCAGCAGGCTCAAGCATGCAAAGTCTCTGTGACTGAGAAAGCGTCACTGTGACATATCTGCACAGTCCATGTGGGTTGTGGGGTTCATGGCGTCTACCAGGAGGGCTGCCCCATGGGGAGGTGGTCACCAGGATGAGTATACAGGGCAGATATCTGGGTTCAGCACTTTGAGGAACTGGGAGGCAGTGGGACCTGGAAACTGCCAGGCATCACAGGTCTGCTTCTGGTAGGGTGGGGCCAACCCAGACTTAGGGTGGATGCTGAGGCCACATGCAACTATAAGCCTAGCCTGACTTGTTAACATTCTAGAAAGTCAATTCCATGACCTTGGCCTTGGGGTGCGGTGTGGCCTGGGTCCACACACAGCAGGGCCTTTCTCTGATCTAGGTCCAGTCTGTGCGGCTCAGAGCCAGGTTCCTCAGCTGACTCGTGACCCTGAGGATTCCCCCAGCATGCCGCTCAGTGGGTGCTCAGGGATACCTGAGCAACCTGTAAGTTGCTTGAGCGAGCAATTTACAGACTGTTGGCCATTCTGACCCCCAGATCTTCGTCAAACTCTCTTCTTTGGCAGTCAGTTCTTCATCTTCACATGGGAATTTTCAGATCAACTGCCCTTCACTTAACCAAGTGTTGCCATCTTAACCCATTTCCCATTTAGGAAAAAAAAAGTGCAGCTCACTGCCACTTTCAATTTTACATAAACACGCTCTCTGAGGCTGAAGCAAATGTGAAAATAAAATATAAAAACTGTTCTTGGAGCTGAGCACAGTGGTTCACGCCTGTCATTCCAGAACTTTGGGAGGTAGAGGCAAGAGGATTGCCTGATCTTAAGGGTTCAAGACCACCTGAACAACTTGATGAGATCTCATCTCTACAATATATCTAAAAATTATCCAGGCATGGTGGCATATGCATGTGGTTCCAGCTACTTAGAAGGCTGAGGTGGGAGGATTGCCTGAGTCCAGCAGGTCAAGACCACGTGATTGTGCCACTGCACTCCAGCCTGGGCGACAGAGTGAAATTCTAATTAAAAAAAAAATCTCTTCTTGGAGTAATTTCTTTTTTTTTTTTTTGAGTTGGAGTCTCACTCTGTCACCCAGACTGGAGTGCA